GGCCTCCGACCATTTCAGAGCGTGAAGTACGTCGTATTGTACGCACGGCTGCTGCTGGCGAGTACAGCGCTGTACGACTAAAGGAGACGCTTGATCTCAAGGCGTCTGTTCGCACCATACAACGCCTCCTGGGGCGCGTAGATTGGCTACAGTACAGCAAGATGGACAACACGTTAGATCTCACGCCAGCACACAAGAAATCCCGTCTAGACTGGGCTAAGCTGAACTTACTGAAGCCTAATGCCTGGGTCTCTACTATTTTTTCAGACGAAAAAAAAATGGAACCTTGATGGTCCCGACGGATACCAGTATTACTGGCGCGATATGCGCCAGCCCGTGCGCAACACTGTGCGCCGTCAAAATGGAGGTGGCTCCATAATGGTTTGGGGTGGGTTTAGTGCTATGGGAAAGACGGAGCTGGCTGTTCTTGTTGGCCGCCAGAATTCGGATAGCTACGTGTATACCCTCTCGGAGTATCTTCTTCCGTATGCGCACAAGCACTACGGGACGGAATTCACGTTCCAGCAGGACAATGCCAGCATTCACACGTCCCAGCGAACCAAGGAGTTTTTCGAGGAGCAACAGCTACAGTTGATGGAGTGGCCAGCGCGCTCTCCTGACCTAAATCCTATTGAAAACCTCTGGGCCATCATTTCCCGACGTGTCTACTATAATGGCCGCCAGTACCACAATATTGTGGAGCTCACGGATGCTGTTTTGGCTGCCTGGGAAGACATCCCAGAGGAGACGCTGGCAACGCTAATTAATTCGATGCCTAAGCGCTGCATCGAGGTGCTTGAGAAACGTGGTGGTAAGACTAACTACTAATGCAAAATGACCATCACTCTAGTTATCTTAGCTTTTGTAAAGACGCCAATCTGCCGATAGTTTTGTCGCAGTGCTAAATCGGTCCATTTGTATATCAGCCCTGTTAAGGACGTCGAAATCGAAGTTGTTAACACGTGTAGAGCATTTTGTTCAATCAACTGCGTGTCATATCTAAACAGCGTTTCTTAGTTAAAAAAAATTGGCCGAGTTATTAGAGGCTTTCAGCAGAACCTTGTAGGTTTCGACCTCAACCGCAGCAGATGGTCTACTTCACCGGTTGCGATTTTAACTTTAGCTCAACCGAGTGAGAAGCAATTTGTGACCATATGCCGAGCCTTCATTTTAAGACTGACCCAGCATCGCTTTAGAAAGAAAAGTGTAATGGTTTTTCGGTTCTCGGAAGACATGGATAAGGAGCTCATGCGCGAGGTTATCAAGTAGATACCGTTTGCAGCCAAATGCTGTGAGACTGGAACAGTGTGGGTACAAGTTGCAACGTGTGTAAGTGCTGCCATAGATGTCCTAGTGATAGACAAGCAGGTTCAAGATCGACTTCGGCTCCTGAAGAAAAATTGGCGTGCAGGAGAACTGCGAGCCACATTAGGCAGTGGTATTGAAGAAGTCAAGGACGCAACGGACGTACAAAGTCATTACAATACGTTGCATTGGAAAGTGAATTCGCGACCGAAAAAACCAAAAACAAAAGAATCAGGCTGAAGAAGCCCAAACTAACGTATGTGCGTCTCAAATTGTAGCCGAAGCTATTATACGTCGAGCTCTGCGTGGTAAATATCTGCTATCTAGCGACTCATCCTCGGAGAGTGAAGACGACACTTCTTCTGTGGCATCAACACAGTCTGTCGCTTCGCAAGCAAACTCTACCAAGACAGTCACCTCTACACGTCGTAAGAGCACTTACCAACTAGAAGTTGATAGACAAGAAAAACGTATACGACTGGATACGGAGATGCGCCGGATCAGTTTGAGCGTCAATTGAAGTTGCAGCAGCAACAACATTCTGAACGACTCTCATTTGAAAGGGAACAACATGCAAACCGACTGCAGTTTGAACGAGAGCGTGATCAAGCTCGAGAACAACAGTGAAATAACGTAGGGATTGAGCTTGGTCGCTGTCAAATCCCGGGGCTGTTCTTGTCGAGACAAAGGCGGCTGCGCTGAAATGCATGGTTGTCTGCGTGGCTGACTGATAAACTCGAAATGATAAGAGCTAGCAGAGTCTATCCACACCTCCAATTTATAAGCGGGATAGCAGTAAATTAACGGCAGAAAAGTACCTCATGTTTCGTAACTCCGAACAGTATATTTGCACAGCTTTTGTGGGTTTCGAACGACTTATACGATCAAATTCGTGGATTGGCCACTGCGGTTAGGCACTAGACACACATGTTCATCTCACTTTTTGCAAGTTGTCGGTTCTGCTAAAAGCCTCTATTGGCAGGGACGTACCCTGTCGATAACTTATGGCGCGGCGTGTAGATTTAGAAAGGGCTTCAAAATAAAAGTTTAGGCAGCTCAGATAGGCTGCGGTTTGAAGGTGATCTTTTCCTACCCTACAGTGTGAAGCACTGCTAAATTAGCAGCCAGTACCGCCGGCGATGAGTAGACACGAAGTGCTGTCGAAGATGGCGAGCGTATTGACCGTGACAGACCAGACTAGCGAGAACGACAGGTAGGCGATAGTCAAACCACCAAGGATCTTGCTGGAGCCGCCAGTGTGTGCGAGTTCCTGCGTGTCCAGCTTCTGCTTGGGCAGCAGGAACAAGAAGACCCACGAGAATATCGTCATGGTATACGAGATGATGACCGTGTACGTGATATCCATACGTACAGAGTGGTCATCAGCTTGTACGCGTGCGTTGGTGAAGTTGAACGGCCCATCGATGAGAAGAGTAAGTGTAGTTGCAAAGGGGGACGCCAGGTTGCCTACCGTCGTCACTAGACCATAAACTGCTCCTTCATTGCCCACACCCGCGATCTCGACCGTCACAAACAGAGCGATGATCCAAGCCACGCCGCTAGGAATCTGCACTGCGATCGGAGGGCCAAGCCAGAACCACTGGCTGCGAAATACATCCCAACCAGTGATAAGAGCTACCGCGCAGTCGACAATGATAACCACGAGGCCCGTCCAAACGATCATTCCGCGCCAGTTCCAGTGGAGGCCGTACTTAGAAGTTACCATGATACCGATTAAGAAGCACACGTGACCGAGAACATCATTTAACGTGCTGTTAATGGGCGTCACGTCCACCATGTACGACTGCACGGGAGAGCTCGCCGTGTATGAAATACTCGAAAAAATGCCGGCAAAGAAATTGTACGCAATGATCTGGTAGACGACACGCTTGCATAGCAGATCCCAGAACTCGCTGATGTACTTTCGGAAGTCAGCACGTTCCTTCTTTTCTTCTTTGATGAAGAACCACGTGATAGGAAGTGCTGGTGCAGTTAACACCGTCATGATGATCATAAGTTGAGGGAAACTGAGCGAGAAGTCGAAATCTCCGCCGTACTCTTCCCCATTAAAGCAAAAGCCGACTAGCAGCTCACCGAGGATCACAACTACATAGCGCACTGCGTAAATAGCGGATTGAGTTTTCCCACGTTTGGCGATGGGCTCCCGTTGGGCTAGTTCACACACGATACTGTCGGAACAGACGTCGGAGAAGACGTACCCGACTGCGGCGAAGAACATGATGATCACATACTTGGCACCTTCACCAGGAGCGTCGTAGTTAATGCGCGCTTCGATCTCAGGCGTGTAGTCAGCCGTGTCGATATCACGGTCGGAAGCGACGGTGTAATATGGCTTGCCAATTGGCATGATCGCCATGATCAGAAGCATGATAATGCACACCGTCCACCCGATTAGCATGTACGGACGACGGCGATAACCGTAGATAGGGAAGCAATCGGAGATGATGCCGAAAAACACCTTGAAACTCCAGGGGAGCACCACGAGCTCTTTGGCGGCAGCAACTTGTGCGCCACTGCAATTGAGGTACTCTTGCATGAACGGATAGATGGTTTCGGGTAGCATGCCGTACACGACACCAACAGCAGCGTATTGGAACAAAAGCCCGATGGTGTCTTTGCTGGTCAACACAGGCATACCACCCGGACGCAGGGCACCACCTTCGAGCTCAGCAGCGGTGGTGTCAGGCGTTTTGACACTCGTGTACCCATCTTGGTCGGGGTCCTTGTTGACGCTCACGCTCACAGCCGACAAGCGCTCAAGGTCGTACACATTCTTGTTCGGCGTCGGAGCCATGGTAACGTTTCCGGTTGATGGTCGAAGCTTAGCTCTAGTGTTCGTTCAACAAGGCAAAATTTGGAATGAGCTAAACTTCGATCAAGATGGAAGGCGTGTGCCCCCGCTTTGAGCTGATGCCGCGCATGATTCCCAACAATCAATTACTAGAATTACTCGGCTACTGCAATGACTGGCTGTACAGAGACTATCGCAGCAGATCGATGCCTTTCACTAAAGACAGCATGGTCTCCGATCCTTGCAATTCGCTAATCGGACTTTGCGGCCTGGCTCACGCATATCATGGTGATGGATCGGGTATGCACCCTCTGTCTTGGATATGTCCCCCGTCCGTCACAGATGTCCCCCAATCAAGCAGCGGATCACGTCGACGTCGTAGCTACTTTGGCGAATCATCTGACTAGTAATAAGCACTGCATGGACTCGTCAACTTTGTCCGCATGACTAATTCACGATCTATATGGTGTTGGGCCAACACTGTTGTCCATAGTCATTCAACAAATGCAGCAGGTGTTTTCGGGATCGTACATGAAGCAGGGATCTTCTGTTCACTAGAATTCACTTCACCGACTCGGTGCAGTTGTAGAGCTCTTTGCAAATATTTGGTATTGTTGTACATTCGAGCTATTGGCAGTCTCTATGTGGCGTCGTGCTTGTAGAGGTATGGCATAACAAGAAGCCCAACAAGTAGCTGTAAAGCTAGGTTCCAAAGAGCCGAATGTCGATTTCCAGCCAGCCATAGCCGCTATAAATCATAGCAGTGTCAGGGAGAAAGTGTGAATTTCGCTGAATCAACTCAACGTACCGAGATAATGCTGACTGCACCAGAGAAAACGGATAGTGATCCGCAGAACGAGCTCACAAACTTCAGTGTGAGAATATTGTTCGTCATATCGGTGGGTGATATCCGGCTCAATTGGTATGCCATTCCCGCTAGGACACTAGCTAGAAAATTGCAACAAAGACAGCCCCAATCGATAAACGGCCCGCCACTGGGAGACGCAGCGTTGCGCAGCTTTGCTGGCTCTCGCGGAAAAAATGCACAGACGTAGTTCGACAGCAGAACTGCGCTGCACGACATTAAGATACCAAGTACCAGTTCCTCTCCGTCTGCTACTTGCAGCGGGCCAATAAACTGCGGGTCGTTCGGGTCGCTGCATCATTCACCGGAGCAAAAGTCAGACTCTAACTAGCCACCAGTCCCCAGTTTCTCCGCCACGTACCGCACGAATCCATGCGGTCCAAGCGCCGCTCTCAACGTCGTGACTCCCACAAAAGCCACCAAACTCGTCACCAAGGACGGTTTGTTCTTCATTCTGTTCACGGCTTTACTAGCCCTTGCAGTCATGGGGTTAGTCCATGCTGCAGCAACGGCTTGTTTGCCCAAATAGAAGCAGCCGCAGCCTCCCACAATCGATGCGCAGACGTAGATCGGTCCTGCTGCAAAGCTGCTGCCACTTAAATCTCCTGCGTGGTCGGCCATGAACGAATAGGACGTAAAGACCCTGCAAGCAGTCGCCCACAGTCAGCAATATGTATGGATGTGTGTGTGTTTCGCCTCCATCTCGTACCCTAGGAATGCCGACCGGAACTGTACGCAGGCTAGCGATACCTTTGATCCTTTGATTCGGTCCTCGTATCCGTAAGTTAAGCCGTCCAGGAAGGGTCCGATAAAGTTCAACGCTGTGCCTCCGACGTTAAGTCCCAACGAAAGCAAAGTGTACCCCGGCATGAAGCACGTGGTTACGCACTCTGACACCGCTGCCAGCAGTAGCATCCACAAGAACTCTTCATCCGTCTGGCGCAGCGATGTATCGCCCTCGTGCTCTTGCACACTAGCGAGCTGCTGCCCTTCCAAATCCTCTGCGTCTTCCTCGCGATGACCTTGAACACGTAGCATTGCAAAAATGGCTACAGTCGTTAAAAAGTGTACCCCCTCACTTGTCCGCTATTTCTCTATTAAGTACGAATGTACCCCTTTCCGGGGTTACGGCAGAGTCTCACTAGCAAAAAAGCGCGGGAGCGACCCTGAAGGTTATTGCGAGCTACGCGGGCTTTCTGGACGGCAGTGTACCCCCAGAGCTACTGCGCGCGGCATGGCGGATGACCCAGCGCCTCTCAGCCCGGAGCGCAACACGGACGCTCAATTAGCAGCGGCAGACGACGACACGCTTGCCGCCATTTGGCTGGGCGACGATGTCCCCAGGGCTCGAGAGGAACTTCCAGCTATCGCTGCTCCTCAAGTGTCGGAGAGTGATGGCCCTGCGGTTGTACAAACAGTTGAAGAACACAAGAGCGACGAACCAGCAGATAGCGAGCAGGAACGCGTACCGCCGCCAGTGGACGAGAGTGAGGTTTATTTCCTCATCGCGGACTTCCTCAAGCGCCGGTCTGTATGCCTCAAGGCCGCCGACGTGCTGATCCAGGAGCTGGCTGAGCATCAGCTACTTAAGGGCGGCGTAGACTGGACTGGTAAACCGCGAGCGGCCGCATACGAGGACTATAGACTTCGACATCGCGATATCTCGTCCAGCCACTTGGTGCAGCTGCTACAAGGTGCATCGGCGTCATTTCCGAGACTTAATGGTAAGAAGGAGGTGGACGATAAGGTCAAGGACGCGCCGATCGAGGAGAACCGCAGCTTATTACTCAAAGCCAGAGTGAAGACGCAGCTCCAGTTGTCAGTTGAAGAGAGGAAGAAACTCGCTAAGGAAATAGTGAATCAGCTTTTAAAGGTGCGAGCTGTACTGAAGACATTGAGAGTCGTGGAGAAGGTGATTAGGAAGTACGAGAGGTATCACAAGTACATGACGGCCAGTCGAGTGGAGGAGTTGCCTCCGGAGTTGCAGTTGATGCTCACAGGAGACAGGAAGACAGACGCGGGGACAGATAAAGTGACGACGCTGGCCGCAGATGTGCGAGCGTTGAAGCAGCTTTTTCAGTTGCGACAGGAGCGAGCAGAAGTGGAGAAACAGGTTGAAATGTTGATGCAGCGTGCCAAACAGTCGGGATTGTTTCAGACTACAGCGCGAACAGGACGTAACCAGGCTTCATTGCTGCGACGGAGAGAGATTCGCTGGCAACACGACACACAGCTCCCTCCTGCGTACGTGTACAGCAGGATCCGGCGCTTGAAAACTCTTAGCGGACACTTACAGATTCAGGCATACTGTCTTGCGTACGATAAGCTGGGCAAGGTTGTCATTACCGGATCTGATGATAGGTACGGTATCTTGTTACTATCCGATGGAATTCTTGTTGTTAGCGACTAATTTCTTACTTGAAAATGGTGCAGGTTAGTGAAGATCTGGTCGCTACGGACAGGAGATCTGCTGTTTACGCTGCGAGGACATGTCGGTAATATCACGGATCTGGCAGTGAATCACTCGAACACGCTGCTAGCCTCGTCGTCAGACGATAAGACAGTTCGAGTGTGGGAGATTAGTACGGGCGCTCCAGTCGCAGTCCTGGTGGGTCATTCTAGTGTCGTGAATGCAGTTCGGTTCCACCCGAAGAAGAATATTATCGTCACGGCCTCGGACGACGGGCGCTGTTTCTGCTACAAAGTGCCGGAGATTCCGCTCATGGACCAGCCCGAGACGAAAATCGAGACTGCGCGGAGATTATATTCGCTGAATGCGTATATGCTGAGTTTGCATCCCATTTACTCAATGAAGCACGCTCGTCGCGAAGGAGTGCGGTCGTGCAAGGTACACTGCGTTACGTTTAGTCGATGTGGAGATTTTGTGGCGTCTGGAGGTCACGATGGAATTGCGCGTGTGTGGGATTTATCGATGGTTTCAGCTCCAGATGCGCCTGCCGTTGTGCCACGATATCAACCTACTGATGAACCACAGGAAGCAAGAGCACCGGAGCAGCAATTAGGAGGGAATGGACCGCAAATTCCTCCCGTTACAGTCCCCGTCATTCCAGCTCCTGTTGCTCAAGCCTTGAACCCGGCACTCGGAAATTTGCAGACTCCTTTGGTGCAGCAAACGATGAGTCAGGTTGATGGTGTGGCCGCATCAGTCATAGGTGAGCCTTTCCGGGCTGTGGCTCCACCTCAACCGCTGGATCCTGTCCAGCCATTCCAACCCCAAGCTCAGCTACAGGCACCTGGTCCATTACCACTGCAAGTGCCAGCTCAAACGCTGGTTCCTGATCAACAACTGTTACTGCCTCAAGAACCGTTGCTACTTCGACCCCAGGCACCATTGCAACCTCAGACTGGTCCGGATGTGCCGCTTCCTACAGTTGCGGAGGCGCTGCAGCGCGAGACGGCTCCACGACCAACACAGCCTCCACAGGTGCAGAACGACCTACCGTCGTTATCTCTCTCAGACGATGCTGTGCCTAGCATTGAGCCTATTGCATTGCTGAAGGGACATAAAGGCCCAGTTTCGAGCATTGCCTACAACCATCGGGGCGACCGAATTGTAACTGCGTCGATCAAGGACAGCACGGCGCGTGTTTGGAAGTGGAAACGCAAGTACAAAAGCTTGTTTGGTGCTGTTTTGCTGGCAAAGGAGTCGTCAGCGGAGTACGACGAGATCTCTGCTATGTACGGCGTTCGCGGGCGGAAAAAACCTACTCCTGTTGTGGACATGGTGGCGTGGACGCACGACGACAAGCGACTTATCACTCTTCACAGTGTTAAGCTTAACTCTGAGTCCGCAGATCCAACGTGGGAGCAGAGGATACGAATCTGGGATCCGGAAAGCGGGAAGCTGCTGATGACGTTAGGTGCGATAGACAAGGAGAAGAAGAACGGGCACGTGAATGCAGCGTTTGCGCTGAGTACACACCCGACAGATTGGCGTATCGTAGTTACAGCAGGGTACGATGGCCGTGTCTTCTTGTGGGATATCTCGTCAGGTCGAATGCTCAAGTCCTTCACGAATTTGTCGCCTGATTCGAAGCCTCTTTCCAACCTTGATGGCGGGTTTACACCAGACGGTAGTGGGTTTTGCTTCACGGATCAAATCGGTCGACTGCTTATCTTTGGGACAGGAACCGGGGAGCAATACGCGGCGACTCCTGTGCAGCAATACTTCTTGCATGATTATGTCATGCTAGTGACCGATGGACACTACAACGTGCGGGACAGGGAAACTCAAGAGCTACCGAGTTTGATGGACTCTGGTCCTCTGATGGATGCATCTTTGGTTCAGTATCCACACCAGCCACCGCATCTGCTGCCCGACAAATTATTCACCTCGGAAGAGTACGCGGAGAATCGACGACTGCGAATCCAGCAGAGTAAGGAGTCGGAAATTCAGTGTGGAGTGCATCACTTGCCTGAAGCTGAGGAGGACATCCAGTCATTCCCTCTTGCTATTGTGAAGAGCGAGGAGAAGAAGTCTTCGCAGGGACAAACAAGCTTTGCCGCTGACGCTATGGCGCTAGCTAGAGCTTCTTACAGATTGAACGGTGCCCCAGTGATGCTGTCAGAGCTGCGACGTCGGGGCTCTGGATCCAGGAGATACGCAGATCACCGGCGGCGTCGTGAAAGACCTGCTGAAGAGCGAGATACATCAGTGCTCGAGCTTGAAATTTCCAGTGAGGATGATCGTAGTGACGAAGACTTCCAGGTACCAACACCGCGTCATGCTGCCGAGGAGGAAGAGGACGAAGAGGATGAAGACGAGGAAGAACTTGATCTGGACGAAGATGATCTACTCAGCGATAATGAGGAGGCAGTGATATATCCTGCTAATTCCAGACGGAGACGACTTCGTAGTACGCCAGCCCGGGGCGGTCGGAGATTGCAGTCAGAAAGTGAAGAGGAACAAGAAGACGCTCCTCGCCAATTGCGAACCCGAAGAAATGCAGCCAGACGTTCAAGACTGGTGTTGGACAGTGACGCAGAAGAGGAAGGCGAGATACCTGGGGACGAGCAGAGTGATGCTGGTGGTGAGAGGGAAGCTAGAAATCGTGATGATAGTGCTGAAGTGGTGGTGGAGTCAAACGATGGTGTTATCATGGGTGATAATCAGCGCGATCGATTCGATGATAGCATGTCGTATACCCAAATGCTTGAAGCGAAACGAGCTCAGCTGGGAGCGGCGCCAATTCCAGCCGAAAACACTGACGACGCACTGATTCCGTGTGCTTTTTGTGGTGTCGGAAATGACGATGGGATGCTTAAATTACCTGGAGACGGCATGGGCGTCCACCCGTTGATTTTTGGTGTTCAAAGGGTTTTCGTGCATGATCAATGCGCGATTGCCTCTCCGTTGTGTTTCAACCGGGATGGGAATTGGTATAACGTGACCAGGGAGATTCGTCGTGGACGCTCCTTATCCTGCGTTGCGTGCACTAAACGTGGAGCAACGATTGGTTGTACAATCAGTGCATGTCGTAACTCTTACCACTGGAAGTGTGCGATTAACTTGGGTTGGTCTGTAGATCAGATGCATTTCTTCTGTCCAGCCCATCAATCCCGACCTTTGCAAAGAAATCGACACGAGGAAACGTGCCAAAGCGCTGCGGAAGACGGAGGGGCGATCATCGAGCCTGCTTCTAAGCGCTTCGGTCTCAAATTCCACCGCGAGTGGTTGCAACTGGTCAGTCTGCGGTCGATTCATCAGTATGTCCCGCAAGTGGGTGACTACGTGGTCTACTTACCGGAAGGACATCCTGGATATCTACACTATGGAGGTATGCCGCATCCGAGATATTACGAGCGGTTGTCAAAGTTTTATGCTGTCAAGTGTCGTGTGGTGGATATAAAATATGTCTTCCCCACCGCGGAAGAGCACGCGAGATGCAGTATAATTAAGTGTGAATTATTGCTCGCGGTGCTCGCTGTACCAACGTCCGCTGTACGTTCTTCCGGAGAGAACGAGGAGCAGAAACAAGAAGAGGAGACAAAGGAAGATGTGGCTGACACTGCGGGTTTGTTCAATCCAGAGTCATCCCCTTTTGCTGAATTCACGAGCGTTGATGAAGCGCTGACTCCTGCAGCAAGTGAGCCGTCCACACGCTTCAACTTCAAGGTCCTGTACCACTCGAACGACGTTGCGAACTTCCTTGTGCTTGATCACATCTACGAGAGTGGTGTATGTGGCAACTGGCGCGTGGGAGATCGTGTTCAGATGCCATATGTGCAGCTGAACGATCACGGACTTGAGGAAGAAGCGAAGATGTCGTACGGAACAGTTGACAGCATTCTTAGGAAGCCATTTGCAACAAGTAACTCCGGAGAAATCACGCCATGGGAGTGTGTCAAGATTAATTGGGACGCTCCAGACGACGAGATATGTGCTGTGTGTCCATGGGAGCTCGAGGCAGCGTCACCAGAGGAGCGACGTGAGAAGCGTGTGCTTTCTCTTCGTAGACGTTCGACTCGGCTTTTCTTCTCGCGATATATTATCGGTGAGAAATGCGAGGCACTCTTACAAGAAATGGACCAAGTGTTGACGCTGTCGATTTCACGGGACTTCATGTATCCTGTGGACGAAGATACGTTCATGGACTACTCGACCATGGTTGCCAACCCGATTGATTTGACCAAGATCCAGCAGAGATTGCGGCTCGGCTACTACCGTCAAGTGGAGGCGTTCTTAGCTGATGTCAAACTATTGAGCGTCAATTGCGAGACGTACAACATTCCGTCGAGTGCGATCTCTCAAAACTCGCGAAACCTGGTCTCTGCTGTCTTGACGCAAGCACAACGTCACTTCCCGCACCTTTTGAACCGTCGAGAGGCTGATGGAGAGCGAGCCAGTATGAGCTACTCATACCCTCCCGATGACTTTTTGACGAATTTCAGTGAAGATCCGGAGGAAACGCAGTTGGCGCTGCTGGAGGTTGAGTTGTTGATCCCGACATCAGTGGATACTAGTAGCAACGCCAGTGCTGTTGCTGGTCAGGTTGACGCTGCTCCAGCCGTGGCTGCTCCTGCTTCCAGTGACGTGCAGGAGACTTCGCCGCTAAGGAGATCTCGTCGTCACACGCGCAGTAATGAGACTGCAGACAATGTTGCAGCTGAAGAAAAGGTGGATCACGTCGTGGAAGAGCAAATCGAAACAACAGTTAATACCGCGCCCAGCCAAGCTCAGTCGACGAGTAATGGAGTGGATACTGCTGTGTTTAATAGTCCCAGACAACTTCTGAAGCGAGAGGTACCAGAGCCGCAACTTCTGTCACCTCGTACGCGTCGCGCAACTCGAGTAGTTACGACTCCATCAACAAATAATGGAGGCTCTGCACGGAAGCGACAACGCAGAAGCGCTGATCAAGAACTCTTGACGTATTCAGCGCTTATGGATAAATACTCTGTCAAGAATCGCGAACTAATTGAGCGCGCGTGCAAAGAAGACCTGAGATCCGTTCTCATGATTTTCCACGAGGCTCTCACAGAAACCGATAAGGAGGACATCTTCGCCGCCCCTGTGACGGACGACTTCGCCCCACGCTATTCGGAGATTATCCCGCGTCCAATGGACTTTGGCACGATAAACGACAAACTGTACAAGTACAGAAGCTTCCGCGACTATTTTGTGAGTAACAGCATGCACCTATGATGTTAACTTCATCGTACTAATCTTTTGCTTTGTGTTACAGGCTCACGTTGAACTGGTATTCTCGAATGCCATCACGTACAATGGTTGGCACAGCTTCATCGGTGGACTGGTAGAGGACTTGCAGAAGTACTGTGTCAAGTTCCTACTGGACGCGGCGGGTGCGAACCTCCGAGGGATGAAGAATCCTTCCACGAAGAAGGCGGCGCGGTCAACGGACAAGACATCGACCTCGAAGTTACCCGGGAAACAGCGTGCTCGCCAGAAACCTGCAGCTGTTTCTGAGGACGAGGAAGATAGCTGGTCCAGCAGTTCTTCAGAAAGCGAGGAGGATGACGATGAAGAGGAAGACGAGAGCCTCACTGATGAATCGGATTATGATGTCGGAAGGAAACGTCGACTACGGCGACCAGCTCCTAAGAGCAAGAAGAAGGCCAAACGGCGCTACTAAAGAACAACGGATCACTGCTAACCTAGCAGAATGAATCATAAACCTGATGCACGTAGTGAGTATTGCGAAGCAAGAGTAGAGTGATGCAAGCTTTGGAAACAAGACATGGACTATTAACCGCACTTCTGAGTTCTATGTAAACGAGATCGATGCATGTGCATCAGACAGCGTTTGGGTAAAGGAGAGCTAGCCTACAACAGCCGCACACCTTCCGTGATCTTCTCCGTCATCTCGTTATTGTGCGCATCCATCTTCTCGATAATACGCGTAGCAATGAGTTGCAGCGCGCGCAGGTCGGAGCCCTTGACTTTCTTGCGAGCCTTTGTGTCGGCGATACAGATCGCGCCCACTACCACACCCGAGTCCTTCATGTAGATCGGGACACCCAAGAAGAACTGCACGTGCATTGACAGCGCGACGGGGTTCTTGGCAAAGCGGATATCCTTACGGCAGTCCAGCACCACCAGCGGCTCGTGCGACATAATAGCATGGGCATCCACACCGATATCACGCGGTACCTGGTCGCCCACCAGACCGATCGTGGTCACGAACAAACTCGTCGACTTGGTCACAACAGACAGAGCCGCCACGGGACAGTTGACGGTCGTACGCGCCAAGTCCAGCAGATCGCGGAGGACAGTGTTAGCGAAATCCTGCGATAGGTTCAGTCGCTGAATGATCTGAACGCGCTCCTTCTCCGTCGGGGTCAACGGGGCATCGGGCCATGGGTTGCCCTTCGTAAACGTTAGTTCGTAGTCGAACGGCGAGTTGGCGTACACGTCGCCGTCGTCCTCTCCACCTTGGCTGATCCCGCTACTGGACGTGTTGCTCGGACTTTGAGGCAGGTTCGCCGCCAGCGTCGGCTCGATCGTGAAGCCGGCTAGAGCTTCCTCCAGCGTCACGTGAGCGGCACTGCCGAAGCACTCGCCGTCGCTGCCACGGCTCGACGTCGCTCCATCACTGGCGCTAGACCTGGTAACTCCACCGCGACTATCGTACGTGCTGGATGCTCCGTGAGCTCCGTTTTGGTCGCCGTTCAAGCACGCCATGCACACGCGCGTACTTCCTGAGAACTTGGAGCGCTGGCTGTCCTTGCGGATAGCTGAGCACTTGGAGCACACTGCAGCACCGCAGATACGGCAGTGATGCGCACGGCGCGTGAACATAGAGAAGTTGCCGCCGCATACGGAGCACGTATCGCGAAAGTGCCAGCTCCGACGGTCACGGAGCTGGTTGCGACGGATACGGCGGTTCACGATAGCACTGGGCACAAGACGCACGCACCCGGCAAGACGGAGCAGCCACGCGCGGTCCTGTTCCAGCGAAGGCGCACGGTACGGGGCCGTGATGAAGAACGACACACGCGTGGTGACTGAGCTCTTGTCTTCGGACGCCTCCACTACAAAGCCACATTTGTGCAGCGGCTGGCGTTGCATGTGCGTCTGTGAGAAGATGGGCCCGCATCGGGGCAGCTCGAGCGACTCCATGACCGACACGCCGTAAGACGCGCCGCCTCCGAGCGGGTTGTTGCCGCCGTTGCCGTTGCTAAAGGTTTGGTTAAACCGCATGAAGAAGAACTCTCGCAGCGGGGCCTGTGGATGCACGTCGTTCAGCGCAAGCCATTGTACCATGAGTGACGATGACGTGGGCATGGACCCGCGTGGGGTCTGAGGCGTAGCCGGCGTATTCGGCTCGGGCGCCGGTTCGGGCGCGTTCCCGGCATCTGCGCTCACCTCCGTGTAGTGCAGTGCCTGTCCGGCTGCGTACTGCGCGCCTAGGAAGTCCTGTAGGAATGCGTCGACCTCGGTGGCGGTTCGGCCTGAGAGTAGAGCGAGCACCTCGTCGCACGTGGTGTTTTGCAGACGGACGACGCCTTTCATGACCAGCAGGTCGTCCTGCGTGTCGTGCATCTCATAGACCGTGAAGTTCTCCTTCTGCTGGCGCAGTACAGCGTTGGCTGCCACAGAGCCAGCCACGCCTTGGTCGTCGTCCGTTATCCAGCGGATAAGCTGGTTAGCACGGCGCTCACCGATGGCCGCCAGCTCCTTAACGCGCTCCTTGGTCATGGCGCGCGGCACTTCATACTGACGCGCCACCTGCTCGGCAAAGGCGCGCGAGCCGCCGGAACCGCCCGAGGACGCGCCGACGTTCTTGCCGCCCGTGGAGCTGTTGTTCCTGCGAAACATCGACACAGAGACAGCGAGATGGTGGAAACCGGACTGACCGAGAGGGAGCAAGTGCTCGTGACTGTCGGAGAGCTACTGCCGATTTGCATTCCAGTGCCGAATACTGTCATAATCGATCAAACTGAATTTGAAGATATTTATAGAAATATATAGGAAGTTGTAAAAGTAGAGGTAGATACAGTAGAAACGGCATTTTATTCGCTAGTATTCTGCACGTATATTGAGTTAGGAAGGCATTACTTATTTTGGAGACCGTCCCATCTGTGGGCGTTCCGAGCAACAACGCGTGACGGCGACAAGCGACCAGCTGGAGCTGGAATGCTGAGCGATTCCCGCCGCGGCATGAGGCGTCTGAGTGGCCAACTTGAAGCTTTAAGTGGATGGCGACTTCGTCATCGCGGCGCGAGTGCTCGGCTTCGAGGCTGTTATCTTAGTGTGAGCTAACGCTAGTCACGATTCGTGACTTACATGGTGGAAGTGTCAGCGGCGCCGTTCCGCTTGGGGCTGCGTTTTGGTGGCGAAATCCCAAGATCCGCTGCATCGGAATCGAGTGCATGCCGCCGCCCGTCTCTGAAGCGATTGCTACAGCGCGGCAGTGATGGATGGGCGGGGCACCAGCGGATGAGTGCACCGCGAAAAAGGACTCGCGTTGCTGCAGCCCGCGGGCTTGACATGGCTGCAGTTGCAGCTGCAACCACGCCACCAGTGCGGCTAAGCAGACAGGGTCGCTGCTGCTGGGCTCGAGGCCAGACCTCTGTGCTCCTGCTCGCACTCATTTATTCCTTGGGCTGCTGGAGTCCAGTCTGGACAGCGTTCACAGTGCGTTGCTACAGTATCGCCACCGCCGCCTCGCGAAGCCACGATCCGCGGTCAACGATTCGTGACTGAAGCCCGAGGGCCTGTCTTTCTCTGTGAGCTCGGTGGGGCGCTTCTTTGCGATGTTCTAGTATTTTGGCTGGAGAGCAGTGGCTCGGTCTCCGTTGGATAATGTGCTGTTGAGTGGAGTGGGTAAGTTTTTTGATCCGGCCAGTGAAACCTTAGAGCTCGAGCGCGGCACGTCACATTCGCCTCGTGGAAGTCAAGGCGGTCCGCGCCAGGTGAATACAGTAGATGAGGTGAGAGCCCGACGAACGCTTTCACCAAGCAGCGCGACGCCACGCTCGACTTCGCAGAGACGTAGCATTTCGCCGCACCGACGCGATTTATCCGTTGGACAGGCATCGGAGCTCTGGAGCCTTGTGCTCGACAGTCACCTCCACCATCGTTGAGGTGTCTGCACCCAATGCAGACACAATTCTCTGTGCTGTAGAAGCTCTTAGCTGAGAAGACCGCCACCTCTATGAGGAACACCAGTGCCGGAAGGTCCTAGTAGTATGATAGGCTATTGGTGTTCCTCCAAGGTGGCGGTCTTCTCAGCAGAGAGCTGGTACAGTGGAGAGTAGATACCACGAATGAGTAAAATAGCAGTACAGTATCAACAAGAGAGCACCGCGACTAAAAAGTATCCTCGCGCATGTGTCCCCCATCCAAACTGCAAGGACTCGGCAGTGCAGAGTCTGCACTCGTGCGCCATCTGCACTGCGAAATAATCCGCCCCTGCCCACATGTTCTCGCAATTGCCATGGCAGCCAAGACGCCAGTGCCAACAGCGCCGATGGCCTCAAGGATTTCGTGGTGTAGCTGTCTGGACTAAGATGAAGGCCGACAAAAAAGACGACAACGTGGACACGCAGAACTGTCAGCCTTCTTCCCGTTGGTACAGCAATGGAGAGTCTATTAGAGTAGTGGCTACCAGTGACACTGCTGCACTGCTCTATTGTACTGCAGCGCTTGCACACAATTTCAAACACCCTTTCTGGCCTCTGCCTGTACGCAATGCCAACCTACAGGCCAGCCAGTCGCCATCCACATGGATACGCTTGGCCGTCATCAGCATCATCAGTCGCGCCTCTTCACTATATGATCTCACAGGTTTGGAAGTCCGTCGTCGATCTAAAAATATTCAATGTCAAAAGATACTATTTTCTCACAAGATTTAGTTAATTTCCCTTAAATTACGCAAATCGTTACGAATAGCTAGCAAAAGCCTTCCGGGGGTCTGCGTGTGGCTGCAATCGTTGCGAGCCCCTCCTTTATCAGTATCGGAACTTGAACCCCATGGCTCTGCGTGTCGCGGCGGAGAAGGCAGCGGCGGCTTCCAAGGCTAGCCCGGCCGTGACGCTGTACCGCTACATCACCAAGCAGGTGCCGCGTGTGCTGACGCTATACGACATCCCGATGGAGCCGGTTGAGGCGCGACTGGCGGTGCAGGCGCTGTTCCGCCAGCACGCGAACGTCAAGGACCCTCGCGTGGTGGACATGCTCATCACCAAGGCGAATATGGAGCTGGAGGAGACGCTCATGCAGTGGAAGCAGAAGGTTCACCTGGTCACGCTGCTGGAGCACGGCCAGGCACTGCGCGAACCAGCGCCGCTCGTGGACTCGGTGGATCAGGCACTCGAGAAGTTCTACGCTGGCGTAGACGACGAAGAGGACGAGCTGTAAGACAGAAAAAGCTGATAAATACACGACGACAGAAAGCACGGAGGTCTGGATGGTTGTGACCACGAGCTTTGTCGCTCCCTGGCGTTTGATTTAAAGGAAATGAGAGGCGACACTTTGTGCTGAACGACATTAGCTGCCATATAATTTGTACTAATCGGTTCCAATATGCTAATGCTACTAATGCTAGTAAGACACACTGCGCAGTCCGTGACTATAACTTAGAGAAAAATTACACAGGAGAGCTCTACAATCCAAGCTCCAGGCGACAGTGACACTTATTCGGACAGGGGATTGACTTGCATGCGGACCTGGCACTGGGTCGTGTAGGCTGTTCGCAGCAATTCCTGCATCGTAAGCTCTGCGTCGGCAACATTCATTCCTGGAGGCGGAGGAGCTTGAATAGTCGACTTGACCTTGTGTACATTGCCGCCATCTCTCCGTACCGCCAGACTCATCAAAGTGTTCTGCTCAACGCCACGGATAGCAACATTCGCGAGGTTACGTAGGAACAGATACTTGTCACCTGGCAGCAGCTCACGCGCGAACTGGTCGGCTACACTAAAGGAGCCCACAACGTGGCCATCCGATGTGACCATGGGGAAGCCAGCGAAGAAGCGCACACGCCCATCGGTCACAAGCGGGTTGTTCACGAACCGCAGGTCTTCAGTCGCGTCCAGAATCACCGTCGGCTCTGTTGTCATGATGGCGTGTGCGTCCATAAGCATGTTACGAGGCAGCTCGCGTTTGTCCAGCCCCACTTTGGCCATCAGGAACCCACTCTTGTCGCCGATGAAGCTGATCGCAGCGATCTGGCAGCCCAATTCAGCAGCAGCGTACTCGCACATCTCCTGGAACTGTTTGCCCGGGTCGGCTAAGTGCAGCTCACGCACCTTCTTGAGTCTCGCAGCCTCGTTAGACGGGATTGGAGCCTTGGGCCATTCTTGACGACTGCTGTAGTTCAGCGCGTAGTTGAAGGGCGTGTTTGCTCGCACTGTGAGTTTCTTCTCTAGCTGTGCAAGGTCCTCGACACTCGGTCGACTCACTTCATCTGTCCACTGAAACTCAGTAAACTCGGAGAACTCGGAGATCGTGTCAAAGTCCTCCTTAACCGGGCTGTGGTTGCCTCGGTTGAATTCCGTGGCCGGGTTGAGCACAGGACTATCAGTTGAACGCTGGCGACGGAATGACCCGTTGCTCTTCAACGGGTACGTTTTTGGACGAGCTGTCTCGCTGTACGACTCGGACACGCTTGTTGTGCTGCCAGAGATGGAGATGTTGCTGGCCTCCAGCTCGTAGTTTTCCACCGAGCTCGTGAAGCTCTGTACGCTTCGGTGACTTGCATTCGTTTGAGACAGCGATATCGAATTGGAGCCGCTGTTCGAAGACAGGATGGACGACGTGCTAGCTGTACGGCATTGACGGCATAGACGCACTTCCTTGTTAACGCTAGACTGCCGTAGAGTCTTCATTTCGGAGCAATTGCTGCACACGACGTCACCACAGACGCGGCAGTGGTGTTTACGACGGAACACAGTGAAGGCCTTAAGGCACAGATAGCAGTTCGGGCCGTCCTTGCGGAAGTCGCGCTTGGTTAACAGACTTTGTGAGCCTAATGCTCGCGTTAACAACGCGTTGGGGATCTGAGCAACGCAACTAACCACCTTGGTCATCCATGTGCGCGTAAGTGTTGACACTGCGTCGCGGCCCGGGTGGCTTTCGGACAGGAACAGCGAGACCTCGAGAGGACCGTCGTGTGCAGTTTCCTCCACTACGATACCTGAGCGACGCATACGAAGACGCACCACATTCTGTGAAGGCGGCAGCGGTTCACACCCGTCCAGCTCGATAGATTCCCAAATAGAGGCGCCAATGTACAACCCGGAGCCGTTGTTCTGGTACATACTACCGTGCTCCAGGTTCTTCTCGAACACATCGCCGTAGCGTAAGAATACATAGTCGCGGTGTGGTAGATTAGGCTTGGACGCTTGTAATGCAGTCCAGCTGATCGATAGACTCTCGTTAGGTCGAGACGCAGACTCTGGCTTCTTGTACAGCACGACACCGTCAAGGAAGAGTGTGCCGAAGATCTCACCCATAACCTCACGGAGCTGCGCCGTCGTGTCCATCTTGAGCATGTGCAGGACTTCCTGAATTGGGGCGTGGACTGTCGTCACAGCTTTCATAGTGTAGAACTCCTTCTCGCAGAGCTCGAACAGCTTGAGTCCGTTCTTCTCCTTCACCAGCTTCATAGCGAACGGCGACGTGAGCGCATCCACGCGCGACTGACCGAGGAAGCGCAGATCGCGCTCAATGTCGTCCGTGATGTTGACACGGTACGATTTCTCGACCATGGGGAACATCGAGTACATGGTTGGTCGATCGCAGTTCGTGCCCAGAGCTGCTCGAGTCTTTTCCTGAATGCGGTGCTCTTCAAGCTCGCAGTCTCGCGCTTTTCGCTCTCTCTTTCTTGAGCTTTTTTTCACTCCGACAGCCGATAGAGATTTATCAAGCGCTGTCTGTGGCGTGCTTTATTCTCTCCCCCGTTGGTGCTGTGCCAACTGTTGATTGCCGTGATGCAGGGCAGCAAGATGGGACTCGATTATCAGAGCAGCCGTCGTCGTGGTCTGACCGCGGTAAGTATAGAGGATTGAACACTGCCTGACCCGCTAGCACTTGCTAGAAGAAGACAAAATCAGCGTCAGCCGTGCGCGAATATTGGGGACTGGTGTAGCAGATCGAGAATATGGATTTGCCCCTTCCCCACGTGGGGATGAGTCGGCGAAGAACGCGCAGCAGCTGGGGTGCCCATGTACCGAGGACAAACATGAAGACGATATTGACGGTCAATGTCGAATTATAATAGATCCGAACTGAGTGCTATTTTCAATCTATCCTACTTGACGCTAACGATCTCATGCCCTACAAGCTTGCAGCCGCAATGCTGTTATTATCGCCCCTTGCTCTGTGGTCGAGCCGCATCACGCACCAACAGCAAAGCGAAGGCATCCTCGCCCGGCCCTGCTCCGCGGAAGGGGCGATATCATATCGGAGATGTGATGCTGCGTTGGTGGCGTCGCGCTGATTGGTGCTGGTGCTCTTCGTTCCCAGTTTCATATCCCGTCGTGGCGTTTGCATATCCCCGTTGGGTCAAAGCGAGACGCAGTGGCGCCAATTTCGCTTGGCTACCGGCAGCGGTCGATGGAATTTTGCCGCGGCATCGTACGGTCTCATTCCGCAGGGCCGGGAAGGCGTGGTTTTTTACGCTCACTTTTGTCGGCACGATGAGCGTTAGCACTTCAACATGCCCACGGTCGAAAGAGAGCTTTCGTATGGCATCTGATTGAAGTCCAAGGGGAGAAGCGGGACCTCTACATCACTTAAATTCAAACGCCTGTGCAAAGTAACACAGACGACAGCGATTGACTAGCTAGCGATCCGATTGCGTCAAGTGATCAATGCCCCTATGCCCCTCCACCGGAGTACTTGTCGAGTTGTTCAAGCTGGATGTAGTGTAACGTTTGATAACGTGAAGATAGCTCTTCAGTTGTCGAAGACGACGATAGGACCGCGAATGTATGCTCTTAAACAAGCGTATCAGCTGCGCTCGGGCTCAAACTACTACTACGATGCGTCAATCTAAAAGCTCTGATCGACTGCTCGACAGCTCCAGCGAGACGAGCTGCGTAATCTCTCCTCTCTTGCAGGGGGTTATCTTGCTTCGTCACTACGACTCAACGTTCGCATCGACTTGGTCAGCAACACGTTGAAAAAACTGAGCCGCCATCTGCGCGTACTTCACACACCACACTGTCAGGAATGCCAAGACTACACGCAATGCTAATTTCCTTTACCTCTTGGAAGAGCTCGAGCATGTCAGTACCGTGGTTGGGTTGCACGAATTTAAGCTGCTCGGTGATGAAACGCGTCGCTTGCTCGCACTGGAGTTGGGCAGCCTGAAGCTGTTGTAACCACGAGGTATCACGCTGAAACCAAGACACAAATTCAGTCACCGTTTACCGACGTACCGCTTGTTTGCGCTCTGCGATACGATTCACATTTCCTTTCTGGTGCTCCACTGCCAACTGCGCACCACAGATTCTCAGTGAGAGTGCATCTTGCAGCTAGCCGCCCACGCTATCCACCCACCGTCCGCTTGGCGTACTCGACGTCGAGTACCAACTTAGTTCGCTTCTCAATGAACGAGTCGATTCGCTCCAGTTCGGCGATGCGGAGGTCGATTTTTGGCAGAACGGACTTCTCCACGTGATCCTGTATATGAAGAGGACAGCAAGTTTTAGTACCCCCAAACAGCTTTGCAATACGATGACATATGAACAAACGTACACTAAATGCGAGCGAGTACTCATGGATCTTGAGTCCTTCCGCTGTCACGTTGGCCAATTCAGCGTCGTCTTGAAGACTAGTGGAGTTGCCAGCGAAGGAACAGATAGCTGTCGATAGGTCTGGCAGTAAGCCGAAGCGATTACTTGATTATCGACCGATCACAACCAAACAAGCCTTTTATCCAAACTTACTGACAACGCTCTCCGAGTGCTCAAAGAGACTGCTGCGAATCGTTACGAGTTGTTCGATTACGGTGCGATTGCTAGTCTGGTTCTGCTTGAATGTCTGGTCTCTCGATGGACCAGCTAGGCGACACGCTACGAGAACGCGCTGGACGAGTCGATTCTTGCGGCTCTGAATGCGCTGCACTAGGTTTCTCTTTGAAGTGAGAACGCCGTTATCGATGCGTCGCACGTCTCGGATACGCACGCGCTGGACATTACTGCTGGGTCTCTCGTCTTCGCTGAGAAGCGGGCATGAGTCACCACGATCCTCTCCAGATTGCAAACCTTCTTCCTTGATGATTCCTCGGTTTGAGCGTTGGCGGAGTGTTGACAGCGACATCTTGGTGGCTTTCTACCTTCAGTGAATGTGAAGCAGAGACAACGGTCGATGGATCGCCTTCGTTATGAGTGGAAATGACGGCTTTAACTGAAGCACCTGCTTCTTAGTCCGTTTGTCCCGTTTTCAGCCCCAGTGTAGGACTTTTCTCGACAACTTAGTAATGCAGAAGGTCATCAATAGGCATGCTGCCCACAACATAGCAATGCTGCGACAGTTGACTTTAACTGGTTCAACAGCGGCCGGCAATCGAAGCCGTTGCAGTAGCCATGCTAACGCTGATGCTACTCAGCGAAGCGTTTTTAATAATGTCTTCGTGTGGCTAAATTCATTGTCATCGTGAAGTACTGGAAGCCCCAAATGTCGGGAAGTCTAACAAAGAAAAGATCAAGCAAATTCAACCACGTCTTCTATGGTGTCGGCGAATAACTGGCCGATAGCGGCAGGTATGTCGGGCAGAGGAGCTTCAAAGTTCGCCGGGGCCGATCGCTGTTATCCGACCAAAAGTGCTGACATGGAGACTCGTGCATCACGTCCTTTCATGACTTCTCCTCAATCTCATAATATCCAAAGTAATAAATTCTGAACGAGGGACGGGGGGTCACTTTAAGTAACGGGCAGTAATTAATTATGTGTGGTTGATCTTGAGCATTACAGTGCAAAGAGTGTGCGAGTTGCTAGGTGTTCGGCAAGTTAGCTTTGCTGCGTGAAGCTCGTCAATACATTCTCTAGTGACTGGAGACCATGATGGGGGTCCCCATGGTGGTCGACATAAATCCAGCAGGAGACTTGAAGTGGAGCTCATAACTTTAGCTTCCATCCACACGCTGTCATTCCTCACTTGTCGACGTAGAGCGCAAACCTCCACCCCCTGAACTTCAGCAACGTACTTGGAGTACGATGGGTTTTCGACTGGGATTCATCTTCGACGGCGGCGAGGCTAAGGAGCTAATACCGCTCAAGCTTCTCTACGTGATCCACTACTTCGCCTTCTCAATGCAGACGTACCTGCCGGTGCGTTATCAGTCTATAACTCTAAGTTACCACAATTCGATGCTAACTGATGTGATACATTACGCAGATCTACTTCGATACGACGGCTAACTTCTCGAAGGCGCAGATCGGTGTGCTTCTCTCTATTCCGTGCATTTGCGCCATCGTCAGTCCACCGGTTTGGGGAGCCATCGCCGACGGTATTCACAACCAGAAGCTCGCGCACACGGTGTGCCTTGTGTCGGCGGCGTTCTTGTTCTTCTCCATCCAGTACGTTTCGTCGTTCCCGATCATGTGTGCGATGGTGTTCATCGCCAACTTCCAGACGCAGCCGTCCTTCTCGCTGCTTGATCACGCGTCGATGGCGTGGCTAGAGCGCGTTGGTGGAGACTACGGCAAGCAGCGCCTATACGGTGCGGCAGGGTACGGTGCTGGAGGTTACTTCGCCAGTGTGGTGGCTTCATCTCTCGGCATTAAGTGGTGTTTCAATATGGTGCTCATTCTATCGAGTATATCGCTGTTCCTGCTGCTGACGTACGTCCCGAACTTCCAGCACGAAGCGGAAAAGCACCAGAAGGGCGAGTTACTCAAGAGTTTGAAGGCCATTCTTCGCCAGCACGACGTGCTCGTTCTCTTCGTGATTGTGATTTTGGGTGGAATCATGGGGGGATTGATAGACAACATGTTGTTCCTGTATCTCTTCAACCTGTCCGGCAACAATCCGCACATCGTCGGCGTGGTCATCGCTGTCGAGACCATCTCGGAGCTGCCATTTTTCTTCCACGCCAACAAGATCATTGAGCGCTTCGGGACGCCCAAGTGTGTCTTCGTGAGCTTGGTCGCGTACGGTATTCGTATGGTCACGTATACGTTCATCCAGCACCCGTGGCTGGTTCTTCCGATCGAGGTGCTGCACGGCTTAACATATGGGTTGCTGCTGGCGGCATTTACGAACTATATCTATGAGGCTGCTCCCAAGGGTACAGAGGGAACGATGATCGGTGTGCTCTTCGCTGTCCAACGCGGCATTGGCGGTGGTCTGAGTACTCTCGGAGGTGGTTGGGTCTACGAAGTGTTGGGAGGTCGCGCTATGTGGGGCATTGCGGGCTTCGTTGTGTTCCCGCTCTCACTGCTGGTCACGGGCGGATTCGCGTACTTGGCACATAGCTACGCCACGCAGAGCCCGGCCGTCAGCAAGGGTAGCGTCACGTCGGACGAGAGCTCATTGCTTGCCACGTCGGATGACTACGGCGCCACTGTGGACGTCAGCGCGCAGTGTTAAGTGGTAAAAAATGTCTTGAAGTAGAGGTAGGAGACATACATGTAGATGTTCAGCCAGCGCCAAGTCACCCGTCGCAATATAACGCCGTGTTCGACGTCTTTCTAGAGCTCGTGGTCAGAAGCACATGAGCATGGCGATTGTGTCAAATTGACATTGCATTTCGTTCTCCTTGAGCCAGTGACAGGATACTTCCCCGTAAGAGTGACTATGTCACGTCTATGCGACCGACCGGCTTCAAGATGAGGGCATACAAACTCCTATATATGATATGACAGACGGACGCAACGCGAAAAGGACAAGCTGTAGCATGCATCTGTGCCTGAGTGAGGCTCTCACAGAGACTGCATAATGAGCGTTGCAGCTGCCTACCGGTCACACTACATGCGCGGAGAAAATCACTCGAGGGTGTGAACCCATTTGCGGTTGCTCCACAAAGGTCTGCGCCACTATTCGAAATCCCTATCGTCTCGCATTCACTCCCCTCCAATCTCAAGTCAGACGCCGACGCTTCCGCCTAGATGTCCGCAATCTTGCGCTTAATCGAGTTCACCATCGATGGCGGGGAGAGCAAGAAACTCGTGCCGCTTAAGCTCTTCTTCGCCATCCACTACTGTGCCTTCTCCACGCAGACCTACCTGCCTGTACGTAGATGTCCATCGCATCCTTGCCTCTATACTCATCCTCTATTGTAGATCTACTTCGATCACACGGAACACTTCGACAAGATGCAGATCGGTATCTTGTTGACGCTTCCGTGCGTCTGCGCTATCGTCGCTCCCCCCATTTGGGGCGGCGTGGCCGACATACTCAAGAACCAGAAGCTCGTTCACATCTTCTGCCTTGTCACAGCCGCGCTCTTCATGTTCTCGCTGCGCTTCGTGCCCACCTTCAACGTCATGTGCCTTATGCTCTTCGTGGCCAACTTTCAGACTCAACCCACGTGGTCCTTGCTGGACCAGACTGCCATGACAATGCTCGTGCACATTGGCGGCGTCTACGGCAAACAAAGACTCTACGGTGCAGTCGGATACGGTATCGGTGGCTACTTCGCCGGTCTCATGGCCGCCGCTGTCGGCATTGCCTGGTGCTTCAACATGGTTCTCGGTCTCTCCGTCATCTCGCTCTTCATTTTACTACGCTTCATCCCCGCCTACCAGCCAGATGAAGGCGGCACTAAGACCGACTACCTCCAGTCACTCGCTATTATCTGGGACCAACCGGACGTGCTTATCCTGTTTATTGTGGTGCTACTCGCTGGTGTAATGGGCGGACTCATCGATAGTATGTATTATCCTGTGTGCAGACGATTGCATCCCTACGCTGACAATTAAAGCGGGATTCCTCTAACTGATGATTTCCTGTTGTTTTCTGTGCATTTGCTACTGTATGCAGACTTCCTCTTCCTTTGGTGTACGTTAATGCGTGTATTCTGCATGAAAAGTGTTGATTTGAGACTGACGCTGTGCTGTATAGACTTCAATCTGTCGGGCAACGATACGAGACTGGTTGGTGTCATCATTGCCACTGAGACCATCTCGGAATTGCCGCTTTTCTTCTTCTCCAACAAGATCTTCGAGCGTTTTGGAACACCGAACTGCATTATCTTCAGCGTTGTGGCTTACGGTGTCCGTATGATCGTTTACACGTACGCGCACAACCCGTGGGTGTGGCTGCCATTCGAGGTTCTGCACGGTATGACGTTCGGTCTGCTCTGGGCTGCCTTCACCAACTACGTTTTCCAGTCGTCGCCCGAGGGTACGGAAGGAACGATGATCGGTCTCCTGACTGCTGTGCAGAAGGGCATGGGAGCTGCCTGCTCGACACTGATGGGTGGCTACATGTACGAGCACTTTGGTGGACGTGTCATGTGGGGCACTGGTGCCTTCGTGGTCTTCCCGGCTGCGATCTTGTTTTCGCTCATCTTCGCGTGGCTCGCTCGCGAATACCCGGAAAAGAGCGCTGCGACTCGCGAGAAATGGGGAAGCTCGTCCAGCTTGTGCTCAATCGACATCAACGACCGTATCACAAAGAAACACGGCTACACGGAGATCGATGGCGTGCCCGAAATCGCGTGATTTTATTCATTCTGCTATTTCCTCCCGCCCGCTTCCGATGTAGAGGATATTGGTATGATACTGCGGCTGTATCTTGTGTTTTTCACGATACACTTCCACAATCTCTGCCTATTCGCTTTACTAATGTGAATCGTGTTATGATTGTTATAGTTATTTGCATCGACTTACTGTGAACTTCCTCTTAGCTCAATCCGTTTGGCTAATCGGATTTTTAGTAGCCTTCATTTTTCTTCATATCTTCCAGAGCCTTGGCACGCTGCTGGGCGCGTCTTTCGACTTCCTCCCGCGCTGCTTTGCGTGCCTCGGCCAACGACATTTTCTTCGGGCTGGTCTTGTCTTGAGGTGACTTCTCTTTCACCTTCAGTTTTTTAGTTGGTGAAGCTGATTGTTCTTTTGCGATTTCACGAGCTCTCTTGGGCTGAGGTAGCTTGGCTGAATCAGCTTCGTCTTCTCTCTTACGAACCACCGCATTGCTCTTCAGCAAGGATTTCTCTTCTGTCCTTATCACCGCTATAGTTTTATCCGTCGTATCTTCAACCACAGCACGGATTGCTGCTTTTTGAGCTGCTAGTTCGGCTTGCTGACGAGCTGCACGCTCTTGTTGAAGCAGCTTCTCCTTAATATCAAGTTCTTCTTCTAGCTGTAGGATCACCTTCTGCGCTTCTTTTGCTGCTTTTAATGCCTGCTCTGCAGCGAGTTGCGCTTGCTGACGAACAGCTCGCTCTCGACGAATTATCTCCTCCACCTGGGTTAGCGTCCATGTTGATTCCTGTCGCTCCTGATCCTCCTGGACCCTCGATGCAGACTTGATAAGTCCACCTCGCCTGTATGCATCTCTGGCCATCGCAGCGTTCAGCCTCAGAGACTTGGATAAGTATGAACAATGAACTTTCACGAGATAAGGTGGGAGACAGGAATAATTTCTATCATTGGACTTCATACAAGCTCAATATTTCATGGGCGTCGAAGCAGTTTGTATAAGAAGACGGCTATTTCATCAATAATAGAGCTTTGGTGCGTTCCTGGATCCGCTTCTCCATATCTTCCTGAGCGGCCTTGCGTGCGTCTGCTAGAGACATCCTTTTGTCCCCCACAAGAGGAGTTGGTCTTGCCCTATTGGGTTCGTAAAGCTCTGAATGCACAGGTAATGGTAGAGCTCTGGTAGATTTCTCAGGCACTACTGTAGATACTTTAAATGTTAATGGCAGGTCGATATAAACGAAGGAGACACGAGAGACTTACCGGGTGAGTTGGATACGTCTTCCATCTCACAGTCCTCTGATCGGCTTGCAGAATTAAGTCTACTATTCGTATACTGAGGTGCTGGATTAGGCTGACGAGCTGCCACTGCGGCATTTTTTGCAGCAAGCTCCGCCTGTTCACGAGCTGCTCGTTCTTGTTGTAACATTCTCTCCATACTGATCGATTCTTGGTCCGGAAATACAGAGACTGATCGCGCATTGACCGCTGCTAGAGCCGCGACTTCTGCTGCATTCGTTGCTTGTTGAGCTACGAACTCGGCACGTACACGGGCATTGCGTTCTTGCTCCAGCAACTGCTCCATGACACCAAGTTGCTTTTTCAGCTGCTCGATCGTTCGCTTCGCTTCCTCAACTTCCTGCTTCAACTCGCTCTCTTCATCTGTCTGCATCGCGTCTATCTTAGCAATAAACGGATACCAGCGACCTTCGGATACGGCAAAACGGTTAGCAACCAGTTCAAAAGTTCAGTTAAAACTGCTCGTGTTCAAAAGATACGTTGGGCATCTCTTATTTCTTCTTCTTCGATGACAGCAACTTGGCACGTTCCTGGATACGCTTCTCGACCTCCTCCTGAGCAGCCTTGCGCGCCTCGGCCAACGACATCTTCTGCTTGCCGCCTCTGGTTGCTCTCGTCTTGCTGGGTCCACGGGGCTTCTTGGCCACCGGCGAAGACTTCGCTGCTATACACAAAATCATATCGCACATTCAGCAAAATATTAGAGTTCTGAGTCTCCAAGACGCACAACACTCACCAGCGGTACGACTAGACCGCGGTCGTGAGTGAGATACGTCCTCCATCTCAACGTCTTCCGACCCACTTCTAGCTAGAGGTCTCTTACGTCCGATTTCCTCCGTCTCTGCTGGCACTGGCGGTGGCTGGTGTCGACTGGCTTCGATGGCTGCTCGAGCCGCTACTTCAGCTGCATTGGCAGCTTGTTGGGCCGCGAGCTCTGCCTGTTCACGGGACGCCTGCTCCTGCTGAACTTGCAGCTCCATACTGATCCGTTCCCGTTCCTTCTGCGCGATCGTGTACTTCATCTCTTCGAGCTGCCGCTTCAGTTCTTCAGCTTCGTCCTTCTTCTTCGCTTCAGACGTGGTAACCTGGACCTCAAGCTGACGTTTCTGAGTCTCCACTGCCGCAGCCTTCCGCTTCATATCCTCCAGCTCTTGTTTCAACCGTATAGCCTCCTGTTCCTTCGCCATGGCCTCACGACGTGACTTCTCCATCGACTTGAGAGCCTCCTCTTGTTTCTGTCTTTCCATGCGCGCAGTATGCAACTGCATTTCTTCCACCCGCTGCTGTAGTTCACGGGCTTTGCGTTCCTCTTCCTGCAGCTTGTCGCGAAGACGTTTGGACTCGCTATCCTTTTCGCCAAGCCACTTGGAGTGATCACTCTTAAGGCGGTTGATCTCGGCTTCCCTCTGCTCTGCAGCTAGACGCTCCCGCTCACGTGCACGTCGCTCTTTCTCCGCCAGATCTAACGCTTCCTTCTTCTCGATTGCAAGTCTGGATAAAAAGAAACGAAGTTAGAGCAAGAAAACACAGCGAATCTACCACAAGCAACTGACTGATTCAGCATCTTCTGGTTGTCCACGGCGGGTTTGCAATCGCTGGTGAGAATCTCGCGCAGACCCTTGGCGGTAAACTTGGTAGCTTCGCGATCCACTATACTCGACAAGAACTTGGCAGCCAGCTCTTGCAACGCGTGGCGGAACACTGCCTCGATTTCATCGTCGGTGGTAGGAAACCCAACCTCCTTGAGCTTCTGCTCAAATGCCTGTGTCACCTCGACTCGAAGCTTTTCGTACTGCTCAGTTTCTTTACGCACACCAGCATCCTTCTCCAATTGGTGGTTGCGACGCAGATATTTATCGGCGAGCTGTAGGATTCACAGAAACAACGTCAAGCACGTCATCAATTATCAACAGACGCCCACTTACATCATCTCCGAGCTTCTCGAGCTCCTTACTCTTCGCCTCAAGGTCGCTCTTGAGGATCGTCCACCCTTGCAGCTTGTCGGACATCGTCTTCATAACGTGAAGAGCAGCGGTATCGATAGCAGCCTTAATGTCCTCTTCCAGCATCGGAAGCTTTCCTTCCAGCCGGTAAGTTACCTGCTTGCCCAAGACTTCTCGAGCTTCATAGCTGACTTCGTTCAGAATCTGACGCATCTCAATCATGTAGCGGCGATTCATCTCGTCCGCTAGCTGAGTCTTGTGGTGCTCCAGATCAGCATGGAAATTCGATACCCCGAACTCGTTCACATGATCTGCTTTCTGGATCACTTCTGTCATTATCCTTGAGAAGAGTACCTCCATCTCACTCAGCAGCTTCGTCACCGTCACAGGACGCTTCCCAGCGAATCGTTTATCTAAATTGTCGTGCATTTCCGAGCTCATTCGCGCTTTGGCTGCACGCACCACATCATTCAGCGCAGCGGTGGATTGCTGGATCGCCTTGTCATTCGCCACTTCCAGCTTGTCAAAGAGGAGACTAGCATTCTGTCGTACGCGACCACATTCAATCTCCACTCCACGAGCTCCTTGCAGACCCATAGGAAGCTTCTCGATGCGTTTTAACTCGCGATCTAATAACTCCGCGCACATCTGACGTAGTAACGTGCTCTTCATGGGCAACTTCGTCCTCTCGATCACTTGACACTCCTTTTTCAACTTTTGGAACGCCACATCCACTTCCTTGGACAAGTGGGCTGCGATCTTTTCACTGTTTGCATGAAGTGCAATGGTGATCTCCTTTTCTGCAAAGGCACGCAGAGAGGTCTGGATCTCCTTGCGCACAGCCGGTGGGAAGCTCTTCATCTTCTCGTACGCGTCAGCGATAATCATCTCGACATCCTTGTGCAGCATCTTGTTAAACTCGTCGCTCGAGATCATCTCTTCCAGTCCAGCAGCCTCGCAATACGCTGAAATCTCCTTCTCGCAGTTCTCCTTCGCTGCTTGGGCCTCTGCTCGCACCATCGACGAGTAAATGGACTCTGGCATGATCACCTGGTCGCTATTCAGCGTATCCACCAACGCAGGCATAATCTGCGAAAGGTACTTGGCTGTCAGTGGTCGTTGATAGAACTTCATAGGCTGCTGCAGCTGACTCGACAGACACTTGCGCAGCTCCCGCAGTTTGTCCTGGAACGGCTTCTGTAGCTGATCAAAGCGGATTTTGTCTCTCAGATTCGCCGTGTTGGCCACCGGCGCCGGGAACAGCCAGATGTTGATCGATTCAAAGGCTTCAATCAGGTTCACACGCGCCAAATTGCGCACATTCACCTCCTCACTGCGTCCCTTTTCCTTCTGGAATAAATCTCTATACACTTCTTCAGGCGTTGAGTCTACAAAACTCCAGTCACGGAACACCCTACACACAAAATGATCAGCTAAAACCCTCCCAGAGTTGTCACAGTTCTACGTACAAGTGCAAGTGTCCGAACACTTTCGTGTTGGCTCCGTCGGGCAGTTCAATGCCCTGTGCGGCACGAGCCAGCACGGCCAACAAGTTGAGCATTCTATCGGCTTGAAGACTGTCTTTCCAGTTGAAGATGACGACCTTGGACGCGAGCAGTACGGGCGACACGAGTCTCGAGTCGTACGTGATGTCTCGGTCTCCTTGTCCCTCGGCGTCTACGAAGCCGATGTGGATGTCCTTACTGGGTTTGGAGTTAATGGTTGGACATCCGTTGAAGCTGCTGAACTTGCTGAGCGGCACGAAATGACCCGACAGGTCCACGCCTTGGGTGCAAGGCTCACGAAGGTTCGAGATCTTGAATAAATCCTGCTGGTCGGCCAGGAGGTTCATGAGGAAGGATTTGCCTTGTCTAGCAGCTCCAAAGATGGAGATAAGGTTGATGGGCGTGTCTCCCAATGGCTGCAACACTTGAGTCGAGGCTTCAGAGCTGATGAACATTTGGTCACTCTTGCCGGCGGCATGTGCGCCCATTCCCAGCCACTTGACGGCCTACGGAGCGACAAACAATGAGAGAGAGGAGAGAAGAAGGCCGTGAGGATACGTACCTTGGGTCTCGACGCGCTGTCGCCGCTGAAGAACATGCTCTTGAGCGAGTCCATGGACGTCGATTGGCAACACTGAGTTCTTTTTGGATCGGGATTACAGAAACTGATATGGGTACATCCGATCGGGTTTTTTTTCGAATGCTAATCTTGTAAAAATACTCTTAAAGTGTTTTGTTGGGACTGACAGTTTAGGAACACGCTCCTAGCGACTGGAGAGCAAATATGTTCCGCACCAAGAAGAAGAAAGTTGGCGGCCGCAAGCGGCGCGAAGTGGAGGCGGAGAACGAGAATGAGGGTGCTGATGTGTCTGCAGATGCTAGCGCTTCGTTCACCACCGAAATTCCGCCTTCTATAGTCGCCGTAGAAGCTGCAAGCGGCCTCCAAGTGCTGGAGGAGTTACGTCGCAGTCGCTCTCGCCCCAACAAGAGCGCTATGACCTTCAGTTCGAAGACGACAAGCGCTAGATCGAGCGCAAGCAACACCCAAGCTGCTGTAGCTGGTTCTGTCCACTCAGAGGCTAGCGGATTGCTGAGTTTTGACGACGGCGAGCGCCAAACGAAGCAGAAAAAGAGAAAGATGCGGCCCAATCTCGTGGTGTCCAGCACTGTGGACGTGGAAATGGAGGAAACAACTGGCCAATACTCAGCCGAGATGCTAGCATCACTACGAAGTGAGCAGAGTGTTCTACTGCCTAACAAAAGGGAAGAGACGCCTGTGGACATAGAGATGCTGGATGTGGAATCTGGAAACGATGAGGAGGTAAAGGAAATCATCGTGGAAGAAGAAGAGGAGTTTATTTCTCTTGATGGAGACAACAAGACTAGACGCAGTAAGAGCCGCATGACATTTGGAGAGCATTCCGATGGTTTAGATATCTCAAAGACGACGGAAGTTGTGGAGGAAGTGGCGACCGAAGAAGATGACGAACAGAACAGACGGTGGGAAGAGGAACTGATGCGTCGTGGTGGACATCGTGTGCCACCTACGTCAGAGTCGAAGGGAAGGCGTTCACGTGATGGTCTGCCTACGTACCCGACGAGGAGGAAAGTGGCGTGTGTATCGCTTGGTAGTGTGCTTGGGAAACTGGAGAAGAACTTGGAGTCCACTACGTTTGAAGACGAGCGTGCCTCGCGTGAATTAGCGCGACTCGAAGCTGAGACTGCGTTGGTCGAGACAACATTGAAGCAACAAGAAGAAGAGCTTCTTATCAGCAGCGAAGAATTTGAGTATTTCCAGGATATCGAGGATTTTGTCAAGGGATTGAGCTTTTGTTTACGTGAGAAAGTACCAGTGATTCAAGTAAAGGAGACGAAAATAATTGACGAGCGCGTGCAGCGAGTGAAGGCCACACAACAAAAAGAAAAACAGGTCTTTGCAGAAGATGTTAAAAGGTTTCTTGACTCTGGAGTACTGCAGCAAAGTGACATCTTTGGCTTGAGTCATCTGGATCTACTCTCTAGAGCAGACATGGCATCTTCTAACGACACACATGTAGCACGTATGCTCAAATACCAGCAGCATTTTACTGAGTCCTATGTGGCTGATACACAGCAAGTAGACGAAGATCTGTTCGCGGATGCGATCGATGAAATCAACTCGCTTGAGCGTGTTTACGGACGTTTTCAAGAGTGGAAGGCGAAATTTCCAGAGGTATACAAGAACACGTACTGTGAGTTAGCACAAGAGAAGCTCTTCGCTCCTTACGTCCAGGCAGAACTGCTTTACTGGGATCCGCTGGCTGTGGCAGATTCTGATACGATGCTCAAGTTGCTTGAAGATTTCGCTTGGTTTCGTGTTCTTCACCAACATGTGCGCAATAGTGGGGCTGTCAATGGCCCATTGCTCTATCAAATCCGCGACGTGCTGCTTGAGAAGGTTCGTATAGCTGTATCAAGCTACTTTGACCCGTATTCGAGTCTTCAAACACGCAGTTTATCTCTGGTGCTTGAGCAAATCAATCGACACGGTTACTATACTCACGTCGAGGAAAAACTTCAGATTTTGGTGGACACTACACTCGATGCTTTCTCAAGCGAAGCCAAGCGCACAGTACTTGTCGCTATCAACCAGCACACAGCCGAGTCTAGCAAGGATGCCAATGTTTTCGCTCGTTATCTGCTGGAAAGATTCATTGCCCTGCAAGACAATCTCCTCACTCTGTTCGTCGCTCTTCCCAAAGGACCAATCGCTGCTGCTGGTTTCCGCTGCTTGCTACAGGTGCTGCATCAACTCCTCGCGTACGTTCGATACTGTCAAGAAACTCATAAGATGCAGCTAGTTGCTACAGCTACTCAAGTCGTGAGGCAGCTCTCAGGTTCCTCGTACCTGCTCCAGATTTTATCCGAGCCCAGTCAGGAGCGCGAGCTGAAGCATATGATGGAGCTATTCACGCCATTTCTACAATAGAAACTAACATGATATTGGCTTCAAAATCTCTCCTGCTACTCTAATCGACATCTAGCGGCGACGGCGCTCCTCGTACTCTGCCTGGATCTCCTCGTTGGTCTTGCCAGCAGTCTCCGGCACCAGCTTGAGTGACAGCACGTAGAAGATGGCGAGCAGCACCGTGAAGGGCATGTAGCTCCAGTCGTCGAACTCGTCGGCCAG